ATGCACACCAGCGCACATGTATATGGTTGCTAATATCTAGTTATTTCATTTACCTAACTCTCTTTCTATATATATATATATATATATATATATATATATATATATATATAAATATATGCAATTTTTATGTATACTATTTATATATTATATATATGCGTACTTATTGGAAAGCACTCAATATCAGTGATAGAGCTAACGTATTTAGTTGGATTGGTGTCAACTAATCCATCTATATATATATATATATATATATATATATATATATATATATATATATATATATATAGAAAAAATATATAGAAAATAGGAAAGAACTCATTAGGTAAATAATCCAAAGTTCTTTAGTATTTTTGTTATTATTTTTAAAAAATAGTGCTCGATACAAAAGTAGAGCATAAAAATTTAAATTATTAACACCTTATGCCCCTTTTCTTTAAACAATTGCTCTAGACGTTACCATAGAAATTTTGATTTCAATAATGAATATGCTTATAAAACGTGTACATTTCAGAAATAAGTTATTCCAAAAAAATTTTGCTTGAAGATGGAACAGATCTTAGTACTTTAATTCAATTTAATTCAAATAATTATATTGAAGTTTTCGGCTCTTGTTTTGAAACATGAGAACTCTTATGTAATGTGTTGGAATCATATTTTTAAATAAATAATTATATAAATATATATATATATATATATATATATACACACACCCATATTTGGCTAGTAATGTTTGCATTCATTCCTAACAATGAAAAATCTTATTGTTTATTGTACAGGCTGATGGTTAAGGCTTTGTAAAAACTTTTATGTAAAAAACTGAAATTGTAATTCATTTTGTTATGGAAATGCATTAAAAATCAACAAAAATATTGTTTATAGTCAGCAATGAATGCAAGTCACTGCTCTACTCCAGAGGTTCTGCATATTCCAAATCCCCATGCAGGAGCTTTATCAGTGACGTTTATTCTTGGTGTATCATTGAAGGTTTTGGCCCACTAAAAACATTGGAATGCTTCTCCCAGGTGACCTAGCTGGGAGCTATCATCTCCCAGCCTTTGAAATGAATCTGCAAATCTTTTATCAAACAAGTATTTTATTTTATTTATTTTTTTTTAATCATTTCACCCCAAGCAAGGCAGGAGTGCCACTAGCATGCAAGGGATTACAGAGAGTGAAAGTAAGAGAAAAGCGGGGTGTTTGAAGAAAGGATAAAGAGAAGGACAGTGTCAAGATCAAGACATCAGAAGATGTCGATTGATATTACATTTAAATTTTTGAAAATTATAGTAATAAGGGAAGCAAGTAAAAGGAAGGGAGTTCCACTGTTTGGAAGTGTGAGAGAAGAAGTTGTTGGAGTAGAAGAGGCAGTTACATTTAACTGTATTGACAGTAAAATGGTGGGACCGAGATGCCAACCTAGTAGCATGCTTAAATTCATGCAGTTGGGGCACCAGTGAAAATAGCTTGTCAGAGCAGATGCCATGAAAATATTTGTAGAATAGACAGAGAGCAGCCATATCATGTCTGTGAGAAAGTCACTGTAGTCGAGACCCTAAGTCAGGACCGATCACATTGAATATCTGTCTTTGGATTTTGTCGAGAAACCCGAGATGAACAATGGGGACACCAGACCATATGTGGTAACAGTATTCAGTGCAACGACAAATTGTAGATTTTTTTTTGTTCTTACAGTTTTTAAAATTTCTCATGTATTTTTATCATTTTCTTATATACTTACAGGTACTGGCAAACGCTTCAGGACATAATGTGGCCCAGATTCAAGTATATTCTTGAGTTGAATATACATAGTGTCAAGGAATGTGACCCCCAGAAACTTGGACATATCGATGTACGGCCCCATTATGTAAGTACTGAATTCTCATCCTTTGACTTGCATTGTTTCTTATCTTCATCAACGACCTTCCTGATGTCATCAGTTCCCAACTAGGTATATATGCTGATGACACCTCTATCATTGAATTTATCTATCAAGCTTTAAATAGGAATGGCAAAGCTCAGGCTATGGCTCTAGAGATCACAAAGACATTCAACAGGGTTTGGCATGCTTGCCATCTCCACAAGTGCAAGGGCTGCATTGTCTCTGGATGAATATTTGGCTTAATCCAATCATTCTTAACAAATCATACAATGAAGGTTGAGTTGAACAGACACACTTGTAGTTCATTTCACATTAATGGCTGTCATCTAGGGCTCTATTCTTGGACCCATGTTGTTTCTTATCTTCATCAATGACCTTCTTGATGTCATCAGTTACCAACTAGGTATTTATGCTGATGGCACAACTATTTACTCCTGTCTTAATAGTAAGTTTGATAAAGTAAAACTAGCTGCTGATCTCATATGACCTCCAATCAGTTGTTAACTGGAGCAAGGAATGGCTTGTTAAATTTTAATGTCTCTAAAATGAAACAAAATATCCAAACTATTTACCCCCATCAATCACACACTCCTCTTTACCTATAAAACATTTATTATTTTTATTATTATTATTATTATTATTATTACTTATGAAAAAATAAAAATTATGATAAATGTATTATTATAGTTTATTTTCTCGTACTTCTCACCTGTAAAACTTTCTTCCAGTTTCATGCTTCCATGCCACCTACAATCGTCAAAGAAGTAAATGCAAAACTATTTACTCCTGTCTTAATAGTAAGTTTGATAAAGTAAAAACTAGCAGATGATCTCGAATGACCTCCAATCAGTTGTTAACTGCAACAAGGAATGGCTTGTAAAATTTTAATGTCTCCAAAATGAAACTGCTGTTTTGTAATCACAATAGAGAAGCATTTTTGCCTTCCATCAGTATGGCTGATGCTAACCTCCAAGAGAGGACCATCTTGGTCTTGGGTTTTCCATTGACATGAAGTGAAATGATATTGAATCAATTGGTAGACTACTGCTAGGAAAGTTGGTTCACTGTGTCATGCCAGACAATTTTTCTCATCAGGATCCATCTTACACATTTATAAATCTGCCATTCATCCATGCATTGAATATTGTTGCTATATCTGGCCTGGTGCTCCTACTATAAGTCTCTAGGTTCTCAAAAAAATTCGAAGAAGTATCTGCAATATTATCGATCCTGACCTGGCATCTCAACTGCAGTCACTTTCCCACTGCTGTCACCTGCCTTCCTTCTGTCTTTTCTAGAAATATTTTGATGGCAGCCGTTCTACTGAGCTCGCCTCATTGTTGCACCAACTGCATGAATTTAAGCATACTACTAGATTGGCAATTAAGTTTCATTGTTTTACTGTTTAATTACCTAGATGTAAATGTAAGTTCTATTCTTATAGTTTATTTTCTTGCAATTTCACCTGTGAAACTTTCTTTTGATTTCATGCTTCCCTGCCACCTACAATCATCAAAGATGTAAATGCAATGTGAAGTATAATCTTCTGTCTTCCTGAAACCTGTTCTTTTATTGTCCTTTATCCTCACTAAAGTTTTCTCATTCTTTTTCCCTCCCAGTAAGCCTTGCTTTGGATGAAATGATAAAAAATTGTCCCATAATAGTTATTACATTTGCATACACATTTCATACACAAAATGGATCAATTATTATGGGACAGAGATATTTCTTATTACATCTGTTCCATAATCATTGAAACATTTGCCTACACATTTCATACAATAAATGTATCAACTATTATGAGACAGATATTTTTCTTACTTCATTTAAAATTTAAATGCAATGTCCATCGCTATCTTCTATCTTCCTGGAACTTGTTCTTTTATTGTCCTTTCTACTCACTAAAGTCTTCTCATTCTCTTTCACTCCCATTAACCCCTTGCATCTTAGTGGCATTATCACCATCTTCTGTCTTCCTGAAACTGTTCTTTTATTGTCCTTTCTACTCACTAAGGTCTTCTTATTCTATTTCATTCTTCAGCAACCCCTTGCATCTTAGTGGCATTGTCACCTTGCTTGTGGTGAAATTATTTTTTTAAAAAGTTTATTCTATTTGTGATAGTTATAAGGAAACGTGTTATATTTAAAACTTATAAAATCTTATCACATAAATTGTTGTCCTGATAAGGACTTCAGATTGCATTTACACTTAAAACTGATTGTAAAGAACACCTATCATGATATATAAGCCTTCATCCCCCCCACCTTTACTCATGACTCAGCTGACCACTGTCCTGTTTCAGCCTCTCATCTTGTGGACAGGTGTGGTCGTTAACAACTTAATAAAAACAAACAATTGAATTGCTCACATCTATTACTCATTCTTACATTGTGAAAATTTTTCATCGAAGCTCTCTCTCAGTTGATGTAGAAGCGAAGTGCTCTTACTCATTTTTTTCCCTACCTGAAGAGGACGTTGTTGAATGCAACAATAAAAAGGAAACAATGAAGCAGTATTTACTGTTACTACTTCGACAATATTAGTTTGTTTTCAAACAAATCCAAAGCATTTTTTTTTATTGTGTGATGGAAAATGTGATAGAATATCAAAAGATACCTTCTAAAAACTAAAAGTATTAAGAAAATGGAAAATTTTTAGGAAAAAAAAAAATGTAGTGCTGAGTTGCTATATACGAGGTCAGCTGAAAAGTACATAGGCTAACCAAGATACTCTCATAGAATGTAACCAAATGTGGTTTAATTTTCAACAAAATTTTCCCTGGGGTCCACACACTTCTTCCATCAGTATTGCAATGCTTGGATCTTATTGGTAAAGAAGGTTTTGTTCTGTTGATCAAAAAAAAAGCAAATATGACATCATTATCACTGAAATATTGGTTCCCAACCAAGTGTTTTTTCATGTTAGAGAACAGATGATAGTCAAATCAGGGGAATAAGGAGAGTGATCAACCAGTTCAAAGACAGTCACACACAGTAGCTATTAAAACCAAGAACTTGTGTACTGGAGCATTGTCCTAACGAAGCAAGACTCTTTTCATTAGTTTTCCTAGGTGTTTGGTTTTGTTAGCCTTTTGCAACTGTCTCAGCAAGTACTCTCCATTGATGGTGTGACCCTTTTGAAGATAATCAATAAACACAATGCTTTTCGTATCCCAAAAAACTGAGGTCATCACCTTTCTGCAGATGAAATGACCTTGGTCTTTGGAACAGTAAGGAGGAGTGTTTATATCATAATATCAATTCTCCTATATAGCAGTGAATTAGATAAGACTTCAGGCAACAGAGATATGGTTCTACACAAGAATTCTCAGAATACCATGGATAGAACATGTAAGTAACGAGGAAGTTTTGAGGAAAATGGAAAATAAATGATGCTCATACTTAGAATCAGAAAGCAACAGTTGAAATTTCTAAGGTATAGATTGAGAAAAGAAAACTTGTAAAATTTGACAATTTTCTTTTCTTTTATTTTTTTTAATCATTTCACCCCAAGCAAGGCAATAATGCCACTAAGACACAAGCCGTTACTGGAAGTGAAAGAAAATGAGAAAACTTTAGGAGAAGGAACTGGAAACCCAATCCTATATAGGAAACAAGGGATTAACCTGTACTTCTATTCCAAAGAGGGGGGAGGAGTGTGAACTGGGTGATAGGTGAGCCTATCTACTATTATATTAAAGAGAAGAGGAATGAATTAACCAACCTAATGAGCTTGTGTAAATGGATGGCAGAAAGTAGGAGGGATAGTAAAATGACATATTGCTTTGAGCTACAAAAGATAGGAAATTGTGGAGAGCTATGAATGCCTGCATCCAGAAAGAATACAACACAGAAGAAGATGATATATAGCAATGCTTACACAGAAAAACTACAATGAAATAGGAAAGGAAAATGTGGTTTTTTTATCTAGATATCTTGATGGGCAGAGCCATGCTTCTGCCCTTGGTAATGCCTTTTTTGTGGGAGAGGAGGAAGATTAAGTGTTAATTTGGTTGGACCTCTGGGTGAGATTTCATGATTTTCAAGCTGCTGCAACTAATATAGAACAGGGTTTTTTTTTATGGAGCTTCCATGAAAAATGAAAATTTGACTTCAAATCAGGGTATTTCCATCCATGTTGGGATTACCAATTTCAATAAATTAGTTATTTTATGTTGACTCTCATGTGGATGTCATGCATAGCATCTAATTGTTCAGAAATGTCTAAACTATTATCTATATATAACCGTTTTCTCAGATCACTGGTTTCAAGTGAATGAATCTTTCCTCACACTGATGCTACAAAATCCCAAACAAATAGCTTTACGAGTAAACAGTCCCAACTGCAACAACAAAAATGCATAGCATGTGTGACTAGAAGGGGAAACAATGGTATAATCATGATGTTGACTTACCACACTCCCTCAAACAAAAGGTTAGGAAAGAAACATCCATCAGTACTCAAAAGAGTGATAACATTTAGTGGACTTGCAAAGTCTAATTTCCTGAGAAAACTTTTTTTAAAAAAGTATTTTATAAATGTCAGCTGACAGTCACACTTTTTGACCAATGAATGCCAAATGTTTCCTGTACAGAAATGGCTAATCTTATCATAATTATTACCATATGAAGATAGTAATATTAGTCCAAGCAATTTATAGAATTAGGATAATTGTTCTTCTCAAGAAATGGAATCCTTATTTGTATCTACAAATAGGAGCTTTACTATTGTTCAGACAGTTGATCATGTTCATTGGGTTGCCTTTATTAATAACCCATTTCTATTTTTAGCTTATAGCCTTCCTCAAGTGTAGGAAAAGAAGTTGTCTCCCTTATGTTCTTTTTTCTCTCTTGAATGACAGATATACTCATGTATAAGCCAACTTCATGTATAGTGTGACTCCTGTATTTTTTTGCATGCAATTTTTTAAAACATTTCCTATGTATAGTGAAACTGGTCATTGTAAAATGGAAAGAGAAAAGTCATTAAACAAGGAATTTACTACTTCAAATTGTTTGACTTCTTTTGACAGCGTAAAAAAAGCAGGGAATAAAGAGTTTGGCATGAATGTTTCACACGAAATAATCAGCAAATGTTTTACTGGTTACATTTATATATGCATTTCCTGGACAAATCCACATCAATATATGACTTGTATACTTGGTTATCTATATAATAATTGTGAATGTCAGTGTGTCACTGTGTCACACTTTTTGAACTTTACTGCTTGAGGCTGTATCCCAACATATCTTACCATTTTAAAATCAGGCTGACTTTTGGATTCCTAAGTTTTCATTACTGCAATTGTTTTCAGGTTCATTCATTTTGGCTTCTACTGATAATTACAATTAAAGGGATACAACTCTCTAACTTTTAATAGCTCATGTTCAAAAAAAAAATTACTGTTCTCCAATTACAGTGTTTCAAAATAAAATTGTCCATGTTTTTAACTTCACCCCTAGAGGCCATAGCTCAACATATACTATTTTGGAATCAGGCTGACTCCGTGAGCAAATTAAAAACATTTTGAGTCAGATCTGGACCTACAATCCTGAAATTTTGGATTGCTATCAGTTTTTTTTTTTTTTTTTTTTTATGATTTTTTGGTGACATTTTTTTGGATGATAACAATTTTTATAACTTGGAAATAAATTTGAGAATAATCAAAATTAATTGTAAAATCCAGCAAAAGTCAATATAAAATAAGTGTGTTCGGAAAGTAAGGACCTACATACATCAAATTGTCTTTAAATTAAATGGTGGCAGAAGAATTAGCATTGAACTTTTAAAAGGTAAGCTTAAATATTAATGCAATACTTAAATGCAGCAATCAATTTTGAGTTCTGTAATTTATTGTTGCCTACTGCATTTACTCCTTCCTACCTATTGTGATGAAGGCCCAATTAAGTGTCCACCATAAGAGTTAAGTTAAATGCCACCTGATAGGGCAGCTTATAAGCTAATATCAAATATGTGAGATTATGTCTTTGATCATGACCCTCTTTAGTCAAGCTGTGATTGTTGAATATATTTAATCTCATGCTCTACTCTTACAGGCCTATAACTATTTTAATTAATTAAAAATATAGAATTCTTGTCAATTTTGTGATTTTCTCTACTTTTTCTTTTCTAGATCACACGTCGGTACGCTGAGTTTTCAGCTGCTATCGTGGGTATCAACCAGTCATTCCCCGATGAGAAGGTGCACCAGTTGTTGGGCCAGCTCCAAATTGAAGTGGAAAACTTTGTCCTTAAAATGGCAGCTGAGTTCCCTCAGCGGAAGGAACAGCTAGTCTTCCTCATCAACAATTATGACATGATGCTTAATGTCATCATGGTCAGTAGAGCAATTTGTTTTTATTTACTATTTTTAAAATTATTTTTGTTATTTTTTGTTTTTTTACAGGGTTATACACACTATTAGTACTTTATTCAAAGTCCAAGTACTTTTATTCAAAATTGAATCTGTGGCATTGGTCACAAGGACAGGGTAATTCTTTTTTTTACATTTCTCCCATATACACATGACCCCGCTATTTTAAATTCACCAAGTGTCACATTTTAACCCTCTGAAAAAGTAGTACCTCTGCTATTTGTGAAACATTTTGCAAGTTTAAAGAAGAAAATTAAATAGGTGCCAAGTTGTACAGTTAGTTTAACTTGATCTTAGATTGCTCTGTTTTTAAAGAATTGAGCACTTTTTTTTTTTTTTTATTACATTTTTAATATATTTATGCTTAAAATGTAAAATTTTCTTTTTTTTCTTTACACATGTTGCCATATAAAAGATATTAAGCTATATATATGTATATATAGGTCATTCTATCTCAAATCAAACAACCACAGCTGATCCTCCCAGAAAAATCTGGGAAAACTTACAGGTGTTAATTGATCACATTTAATGATAAATCCCAAATATTAGATCTGTATCTTTTTAATAGATTTAAAATCAGAGCATCTTGAAATTTCGCTGCAGTTTTTGTTTTGCTAAACAAGGCTTTCAGCGAAATTGTGACATTCATAGTAACAAGGATATTGTATGTACAGATTTGAAATTTGGTGACAATAGTTAATGTGTAATGCAGATTACAAAAATATAAACATGTTAGGTTTATCTTATGCACTTTTATTTTTATAAGGACATGAAAATGGCTGATATCTAAAAGTCACTGTGAGAGTTTTTCATTTACAAAGTATGTCAGATAAGTAACCCAAATTAGTTTTCCTGTTATTTATGACCTAATAAATTATTTCTGTACAGTAACAGTATCCATTCCTGTTATATGAATTTTGGTATTACTGTTTGAAAATTGCTCAATTTTTTTTTATATCCTTAAAATTGCCTTATACTTGGGATCAAAGAATTCCTGAGAATGTTGGCAGATTTTTCGGAGAGGAACTGAGTTATCACTGAGTGGGGTTGTTGAATATTCATATGCAGAAATCGACAAAAAAATCCATCATATATATATATATATATATATATATATATATATATGATATAATATATATATTTAGTTTTTTTTTTATATGACAGATCAAATAAGTTATTTTCTTTTATTTAGTTTTTTTTTATACAATTTCTCTATATGATTTAATGCCATTCATGTTTAAAGCACTCAGATTTTTTCAGAAAAAAAAAAAAAATGATAAAATTATATAAAAACTGTCGAAAATCACCTTGTTCTTTTATCTGAGCAAATACACTATATATATATATATTTATATTTATATATTTTTCCTATGAGACATTTTATTTTTATCAATGTATGAGGACAGAATGCAACACAGACTAAAAGGCCAGTCTTCCTTAAAAGATGAAAATGATGAAACCAGAAAATCTTGTGGAATGTAAATCCTTCAATAAATTTGGCAAACATTAATTAGATTTTATGGAATTTATCATCTCTAAAAAACTGTTTGGAAAACATTCCAAAAAAAAAACATTTGCCCGAGAAATTGTATTTGGAAAAAAAAACTAAATAAAAAGATTCGACTCACCTTTTTCTTTGATTCAATGGAAAATAAAGTTTCCTGGAAGGATGACGCAGAAGCATCTTTTCCAAAAACTAAGCAAATTTATGGGCAATTAAAAAAAATTTGAACTTAAAAAAAATTTTATCCCTCTTAATCATCAAAAGGAGTGTTTTAACACCTAAATACACACAAATATATATATATATATATATATATGTCTTTACACATGATATTATTTTATCAATTTAAATGTACTGTCAAAGCTGGGCCGCGTGAGTCAGAAACGGGCAAGGGCGTTACACATGCTAATGACTAAAAAGCAGGTTGCTTGGAGACCAGTCTTCCTTAAAAGATGATGATGCTATGATTGGAATGTACTCCTTCAATATGAGCTTATTTGAGAAAACCAATTAATTAGATTAATGGAATGCTGGAATCATCTAAAAAAACTGTTTGGAATTTGTTCAAAGAAAGGTCATAACATTCCATAAGAACCAGACTGCATCACCAGACAATTGTTGCAGCATCTCTGAAACATTTGCCGTTCTTCAACATGGCGTTCCTTTAAATCACCATTTATTCTAGTCTTTGTAAAGTTCCCTATATTAAAAGATTTCAAATTTGGTTGGAAGACTTCAAAAATCACTTAGTGAAGTTCTTTGCCGAGAATGATAAAAAGTTCTGGGAGGATGGAAGAATAAAGTTTCCTGGAAGATTGCAGAAGAAAACGGTAAATATCTTGTTCAGTGAACTAAGTAAAAGATGATAAAAGAAGAACAAACTTTTGGGCATTTTTTTTCCTATGGGTGAGAATTTTATGGAATCCAATTTTTTCATTAAAAAAAAAATTGAAATATAAATATCGGGAAAGTGTTTTAACAGAGGACAGAATATGCAACACTGAAATCAGAAGGTGCATTGAGATAGCAAAATATGCCTTCCAAAAGCTAAGCAAAATATTAATGAAACCAGAAAATCTTGTTAGAAACAAAGAAAAGAGTATTGAAATGTTATCATCAATTTCCTGACACTCATTGATCAATTTGTCTTACATGGCACTAAATGCTAAACAATCTCATCACAGATTAAAAAAAAAAACTTGAGGCTATAGAAATGTGTTTCTATGAAAGAATGCTGAGAATACCATGGCTATGCTACAATGATTGTCTGGTCATGCAGCCTAGTCTGGTCCTTATGGAATGTTATAACCTTTCTTTGAACAAATTCTAAACAGTTTTTTTGATGATTGTGTCTTTCCATTAATCTAATTAATTGGTTTTCTCATGGGAGAAATGACAAAATTATTGCAGCTTAACTGGGAAGTTTTAACTCATCATTCATTTTCTCTTCAGATTACCATTTATTCTGGACATTACAGAATTTGTTGATGAAATTAAAAATTTAATTCATTGGAAGACTTTGGAAGACATCTAGAGCAATTTTGAAAATGATAAAATGTTTTGGGAGGATGGAATTATGAAGCTGCTTGAAAAAAGTCAGAAGACAGAAGGAAAAAAACTGATAAATATATTGTTCAAACAAGTTAATGTTCAAAATGAAAACAAAATATCTTCTATTTTTTGCTTAATAAACTGAAAAATCATTTTCATTGCACAAGATATACACAAGAGTGAACCAACCTGATGGATAATTATTAGCTGGATTTTGATCTAAAATTTTCCCTGTATAATGTTTCAATCTATGTGATTAATATTCAACACTGAATTAAGTGCTTTGACAAGGAAGGATATTATGTTGAAAAATAAATGCTTTTTTCATCATTTCACTGTGGACTTACTGATGTGACTGCATATTCACCACTGAATTAAGTGCATTGACAGGGAAGGAAATTATATTGAAAAATATTTGTTGTATAAAGTAAAAGTAAATTCTTTTTTCATTATTCATTCAATCAGTTATGTGCCATGCATGATACATGCTTAGGTGATCATGTATCTTTCGATACATGACTGACGAGGCAGATTTTTTCCCACACTAGTTTGCCATTTCTTTCTGCAGTAGACTGGTTGCCATTCAAGGCTATAGAACCCAGTCTGTTCTATTTACCCATAGCTGTGGGGAGAAGAGGATTTATACCTTTCCCAAGGGTATTAGCACATAAGTGAATGTAATGGATTTGACTGGAATTCGAACTCAGCTCTCCGATTCCTGAATTTCAGCCTCTATCCATTACTCCACTGTGCCTCCTTTTCATTATTAGGCTGTAGAAATATTTAATATATCTATGTAATCACCTTTGAATTAAGTGCATTAACAAGGAAGGAAATTATGTTGAAAAATAAATATTTGTTTCTGTCTTTTAGGCTACAAATTTATTGATGTACTTATATACAGAGAGTGCAAAGTTTTACAAAGAACTGACACATATCTAAATATCTTTTATCTTTATATCAGGAGCGGACAGAAGATTCTAAAGAGTGTGAAAGTTTCCAGGAATTGCTCTCAGCCCGTACTCAAGAGTTTATTGAAGAAGTGCTGGCGCCACACTTTGGAGGAATGATCACTTTTGTCAAGGAATGTGAAGTCATCATTGAAAAGGATAACATTGATCATTTAAAGAATGAAGAACGTGAGCCCCACAAATTTACCATTTTCCTTTTCTCAAATAAAAATACACAATAAAAATCTGGCAAAGTTTAACTTAGGACCAAGCAAAAAAAAATATGATGTGTAAAAAGGACATTTTTCTTTTGACACCTCTATTATTGTATATTCCCATCATAATTTTATCAGTTTAAAAAGCTATTTTTAGACTTTTAATAAAATCCTATCATATAAAAATTGAATAGTGAACTGAAGGCCACTTGGAAAATTAAAATAAAATATCTGTGGGATTTACATAATTTAATATCTGAAGAATTATTTTTATTTTTTATATTAAGCTTCACCTTGTACAAGGTAGAGGGTTATGTTAAGTAGTAGTTTATATGGATAGGAGGGGAAGATAATTGTTAACTCAACTCGAACAGGTTACGGTGAGAAAAATATATATATGAATTCAAGTTATTAAAATTCTCAAAATACCTTTTTAATAATCATAAAAATTACTGTAGGAGTTTGTTTTTGTTTTGTTTTTTGTTTTGTTTTTTTGTTTTGTTTTGTTAAATGCATTCTAAGCAGTTACAGTAGCTTGTCTCCTTTTCTGTCAAAGTGGATTTAACTTTTAAGCATTATTTAAGTTTACTGAAATTTCTCCTCAGTGAATATTTGTTTGGTGAAATGCTGTCACCAAGTTTATTGAGTAATCCTGTTTTAACACATACCATTGCAAACATGAATAGAGACACAATTTGGGGGTTATTTGTCCAGTCAGTGAGAAGTTGAGAGAGGGACCCATTGTATGTTTACATATTCACTAGTGTTTTATTATTTTGGGGGTGTATAAAAGTTTTGCAGCACCTTTCCTTTTAGAAAATTAGAGACTGAAAGCCTCTGTCCCTTCAGAACATGGACATTTTTTTCTTTTGTTGCTCTTAGCAATACTTTCTCTTTTATGACTTGTCTTCATCAATGCTGCACTTGGTCATCCATCCATCCTCCAAAACTTGTCAAGTTAGCTACATGCTCTTCCCTTAATGATTCGCTGGTTTTCAGTGTGTCCTGCGAAACTTTGTCCTTAGTATGACATCTACATCTGGCAGCAAGACCACTGATCAGGATATTGGAGGGTTTGAGGAGCATGGAACCACCTCTTAATTGCTATTCCAAGACACACCCTGGCTTGGGGTGGTAGCACCTGTTAGGGTCCCAGCTATGGGCAAATAGTGAACCCCACCAAACAAAAATCAACAGTATGTTTTTATAATAAAATGACCAACAATACATTTTTATAGCAAAATAAAAATGCAACTAAAAGAAATATAAAAATATACATTTTTATAATAAAATGACCAACAATACATCTTTATAGCAAAATGAAAATGCAATACTAAAAAAGTATAAAAATACATTTTTATAATAAAATGACCAACAATGCATTTTTATAATAAAATGACCAACAATACATCTTTATAGCAAAATGAAAATGCAATACTAAAAAAGTATAAAAATACATTTTTATAATAAAATGACCAACAATGCATTTTTATAATAAAATGACCAACAATACATCTTTATAGCAAAATGAAAATGCAATACTAAAAAAGTATAAAAATACATTTTTATAATAAAATGACCAACAATGCATTTTTATAATAAAATGACCAACAATACATCTTTATAGCAAAATGAAAATGCAATATAAAAAAGTATAAAAATACATTTTTATAATAAAATGACCAACAATACATTTTATGATCTACAAAATATATAATTAAAAAACATACCTTTACTCTGAAAGTATAAAATTATGTGCCAAATATCTACAGTTGAAAGAATAAAATTACATACAAAATACTGATTTCAACATTTAGTAACCGATAGAGGTTGATATGCCACCAAACAAAATCAAGCAACCAAATCCTGTGAAACTGAATACGTAGTAGTTTGCTTCTTTTTTTTTTTTTTTGAATCAGATTTTTTTTTTAAATGCTGGAAACTTTTGCACACACACCTAATAATTGAAAACTTTTTACAGGAAGAGTCCAGCAGATTGTACGTGGTTTCAATGCAGACTGGAAGAAAGCCATTGAACTAATCAACCAAGACGTGATGCGTTCCTTCACTAATTTTAAAAATGGGACTCAGATTTTGCAGGTAAGCAGTTTGGTTGTTACTTGTTTTTTTTTTTTTATGGTGGTGGTGTTTAAAACATTTTATTATTAATCATCTGAAAGACACTTTTCTGCCTACCATCAGCATGGCTGATATTAACCCCCCACCCCAGAAGAGTACTCCTTACGCCTCCTAACATTCTCGGCTGACATGAAGTGGAAAGACTGTATTAAATCCATTGTTGCCTGGTCAGCTGCAAGAAAGATGGTTCACTGTGTCAGACTAGACAATTTTTTTCTCCAGAATCTATCTTACATATCTATAAGTCTACTATTCGTCCATTCTTAGAATATTGTTGCCACTTATTGTCTAGGGCCTCTTGCTATATATTTAGAGATCCTTGATAAAATCCAAAGAACAATCTGCAGTCTTATTGGTCCTGACATCTCAGCTTCACTCACTTTCCCACCGCTGTAAAGTTGTGCCTTTTCTATAAATACTTTCATGGTAATTGTTCAGATTAGCTCTTCATTATGGTACCTGGACATTATGAACTTAAATATGAATCAGCACCAAGATCTCATCATTTTACAGTTGAAATGGTGAGATGTAACTGTAAGTTCTATGCTAACAGTTTCTTTTATCGCTTGTGGAACTCTCTTCCTCCTCTATGCTTTTTTTAATCTTCAAAAATTTAAATGCAATGTCAATTGCTATCTACTGTCTTCCTGATTACTCTTCTATTGTTCTCGCTCCTTAATAATGTTTCTCTTTTCTAGTTCTTCAACACCCAGTAACTCCTTGTGTCTTAGTGGCTTCACTGCCTTGCTGGGGGTGAATTAGATTAAAACATTTCTTTTAAATTATCACCTCTTTATTTCTGACTGAAAAATTAATATTTAATCCAATACTTTTAAACTTATTGTGCTAGATTTTTCATGAGTTGAAAAAATTTGTTTTATTATTTCTCAGTCCTTATGGACCTATATCCTCCTGGCATTAATTCAAACTAACATTTTCTACTTTTCTATATATTTAGACCATTTTGATTAAAACATATTTTCTTGACTTTGAATGAAATCTTTGAAATTTTCCGAAATATTTTAGTGAAATTTTAAATTTCCAAAATTGCATTTTATAGTTTTCGCTTAGATATATGAAGAAAAAGAAGGTGGCAGTTTAAACTGATACCAAGAGGATAAGATACTTCTGGACATAAAGTGGGGGATTGTCTTATATTGTTACGAAGTAATAAACTGATCCCCCATAATTACTACATATTAACATAATAACTGGAAAAATATATTTGAAAACTCACTTGTGAAACACTTCTAATAATAGTGTTATATTCCATGCTAATAGGAATATGGGACGGACAAACATGGTGGATAAATAGTAATAGGTTTATTGTAGAAACCAGTACAACAAGCAAGAAAGTAATAGTTATGCACACAGTCGTCGCAAGTCAGTACAGTTGTGTGCATGCTGTTATCGGAAGGCCACTAGTCTCACAGATACCAGCTTGACTCTCCTGTCGTCCTAATGGATACTTGTAGGTGGTTACCACCTCTAGTGCCACCACTCATGGGGGTGGCAGGTTATTCCATTACATCAAATAGTTTATAATTTTTGCTTATAGAGATATACATGTACATAAAACCTGAAGATGGCACATCCGGAAGTGCTAAGAAATGTGCACCATAACCGTTGTTCTCCTCCCCTGAAGCCAAATCACCTTGGATTTCTTCTTTCTTTTTTTTTTAAACATTTCATCCCCAAGCAAGGCAATAAAACCACTAAGACCTAAGGGGGTTACTGAGTGTAAGAGAATATGAGAAAAAGAAAACATTATTAAGGAGTGAGAACAATAAAAGAAGACAAATCAAGAAGGCAGTAGATAATGATTGATATTGTATTTAAATTTTTGAAGATCAAAGTTGACTGGAAATCAAGATTTCTTGAGGGGATTTTATATATTGTGAAACTATTTTTTTTTAATCCTTTCACCCCAAGCAAGGCAATAAAGCTACTAAGACACAAGGGGTTACTGAGTGTGAAAGAATGCAAAAAAGAGTAACATTATTAAGGAAGGAGTGCAGTAAAAGAACAGAAGACAGAAGATAATGATTGACATTGCATTTAATTTTTTTAAGATCAAAGTTAACTGGCAAACAAGAAGCTGGAAGAATTTCACAAATGAAAAGTGTGAGAGAAGAAACTGTTAGCATAGAAGTTATGGATACATCTAGCCATTTCAATAGTAAAATGATGGGACCTAGCTGCCAATCTAGTACTGCACTTAAATTCATAAAGTCAAGGTATAAAAAAGGAAAACACATCAGAACAGTGACCAGATTCTTTTTTTGTGGGGAGGGGGTTTGTTGGATGTGTGGTTGGTGGTACAGTTAATGGCTTAAAATGAGAAATTCGAGAACTGAGTTTGTCTTTCTGTAGAGTTATATTCACTTTTGCACTAATACCCTTGGAAAATATCTATCTCTTCTCACTCCACCAGCTATGGACTGAACAACAAGGTAGAGTGGGCTCTCTAGTCATGGTTGGCAACCAGGCTAGTAGACGAACAACTTTGAATTCAAAACCGTATTTTGCCCTGATGAGGTGCATATTACAGTCATGGAAAAGATAAGGGAGTTCTCAATTAACTTTGTGGGGTTGTGTTCTCTATGAACTCAATTGTTGATGTGGTAGGTAGGTGTAATGCCACTCTCTTTAAGTATACAATTCGGAAAGAAAGAGACAGGTCTGTCTCTCTCCTTTTCCTCCTCTCTTCCCCCCTCTCTCCTTCTCCTCTTCTCTCTCCTTGTCTTTCCTTCTCTCCCTCTGCTTCTCGTTCTCTCTCTCTCCCTCTGCTTCTCCTTCTCCCTCTCTCCCTCTGCTTCTCCTTCTCCCCTCCTCCCTCTCCTTCTGCTCCTCCCTGTCTTTCTCTCTCTCCTCTCTCATATAGATAGTAGCAATGCAGATTATACACCTGTAAAAGGTAGTATAATGGATGGTAACAACAAGAGCCAAAAAAAGTAAAAAAAAATTAAGTTTCATTCTCTCATTTTTCTTGGTCAAGGGTATTAAGTAATGCACATAGAAAATCTAGAATGAAAAGGGCAAATATCCATTGTATGTATGAGGCTTAGACATGAATCTTTTGTCCGAGGCAAAATCTCTGATAGCATAACAATAGGTTGACCTTGAAGCTGTTCACACATTTCAGCTGATTGCAGCATCTTAACAATGAGCTTATTTATTGTGCTGGGTTTTGTTACCAAGCTATGATCATTTGTTAAAGTTTAGTCGCTATAAGTCTTTCATATTTAATTCTTAAAAAAATAAATAATAATAATAATAATTGTTATTACTTCCTTTGATTTCTGTTGTATACACATTTCTTTCTGGGTCCCAACCAGCAACCTAAGGTCAGAAATAGCTTCATGACATTTTCCACTGATCATTTAAAAAAATCCTAGGATATTATTATTATTATTATTATTACGACCACCACCACCACCACCAATTGTCCTCATCTTTGTTGTTGTTGTATCACAATGTTTCAGCCCTTGTGTTCTCCAGCCTTCATCAGGTGTATATTGATCTGGGTAACCTACAAGGAATTCTGAACAGAACCTTTTATTTAATTTACAAGGAAGACTGTTCTCATTCCACTTCCCATGTCTAGGGATATATCATCTCGTTCTTATTTTTAGTACTGTTCAGTTATTGCTCATCCAGTTTCTACTGAACCTTGTGGATTAAAGCATTGGTTTATGAAATTGATGACATAATAATTGTGAGTTCAATCCCTGGGCTAAGCAGGGTATACTTGAACTCAGTGGAAACAGGGCAAACAAGGGCCTAATGAAAGGAAAAAAACACCTATTTATTTTTTTGTCCTGAGAAATGTTTTAAGGTTATATTTATTTTCTTACATCAGATATATTTTATGATTTCAGGGTGCCCTGACACAACTGGTTCAATACTATCATCGATTCCAGAAGGTTCTCAGCCAGGGGCCGTTTCGCAACATGCAAATCCGAAATGAAATCATCAATATTCATCATGTGATGGTTGAAGTGAAGAAACACAAGCCTACATTCTGAGGACTGGTAGGAAAAAGCCATTGGAATGAGAGTTTGCATATTTAAATAACCAGCTATTGCCAGGTACTTTTGGGGTTACAAACCGACTGGGTCTGTTTGTTAAAAAAAAAAAAATCCTTGTGCACGAGAGAAAGGTAAAACTACAACTTTAGGTCTCACAATCTGAAACAGTGTCAAAAAACTTTCTTTCCATGGGACTTCTTGGTGTATTGCTTTTTCTTTTTTTTCTTTTTTTTAACCAGATGGTTCTCAAATATTTATATAGCATCATCAAGTCTAAATCTGGTGCTGATAGGAATTGACTGTATAAATAGTAATTCATTCTAAAATTTATAAATTCTCCTCCCCACTCGTCATTTCTCAGTGTTGTCTTCAGAACTTTAAAAACAAATCTTTACTGGGAATCCTAAATAAATTGTTCATATTAAAAACATCTTTCTTTTTCTTTTTTTTAATCTTGTCTTATTTTCTTACCCAAGCTTCATATTGGCTCCAGTTTGAGGCTCTAACAATGGTTTGCTGGCTATTTCATGACTGTTCATCATTTTTTCTTAACACTTACTCAGCCTTTCAGATGAGCTCTTTACACAAGATGTTTGTTTCCATTTTTTCCTCCCTAATTGATATGTCCCAGAAAGGGATATATTTGATCGAAGTAGCTAAGTGGTTTTGGCTACTGTAACCAAGTATTACACGGTAGCAGTAATCGACTGGTACTCGTCGTAGTCGCAGGTAATAGGTGTAGACCAATAGAATAGCCAATGGTGTAGTCCAATGGGCGTCATCATAGACTTAAACTCTATCGTACCTACACATCCGTCTGTATTTATGACGGACACCAACCAATCATATTCCAGTGAGGGGGAACACAGGCGTATGCATATTCCATTATATCACTAATATTTAGAAACTGTTAAAGTATTTTCAGAATTTGTCAATGGTTTGGTGGTTTTTATCATGGAACAATCTGAATTCTGTCCAGTCTTTTACTAGAGTACTTCTAATAAATATACTAATACATTTATTTTGCAGGTTTGTAAGAATATCGATAAAACAGCTCAAGATGATGAATTAAAAAGAAAAGAGAGGATCATGAATTTGGTTTTTTATAACAAATCGATTGTGATGTTAAATGGTATTTCTAAAAAGATATTTCTATCTTTTCATTTTATTCTTACACTTTATTCTTTTTATGAACTAAACTTTTCTTAGTGTTATATACGTTATTCATACTTACATGTTGTTTTCAATTGTTTCAGTCTTTTTGTTGATTTCTTTTTTCATATATGAACCAACATGTTATTTAAAAAAAAATCTCTCAAATTTTGCTTTACTGCTGAAAATAGAACCTCTTCAAGCCAAAAAAAAAAAAGTGACCCTCTATTCCCGACATGTGAAGAAGACTGCAGAATGAAACGGTCAAAGTATTTTCAAATTTTGTCAATTTGAAAAACATCAATAATGTAAAGGTATTATCATGTACTTGTTGTAACCAAGGGAAGGTTACTGAATAGAATAATCACACAAAGGTTGGTAATGAGCGATAATACTTAGAACAAGAACAACACATATAAGATTCGCCAGCGGAGCATAGAAGATGTAGTCAACTGCTATAGGTGAGTCAAGTGAATTCCACAATGCATCTCCAACTGCTGGATATCTACCAATCACCTCACGTGGTCAGATGTTGCACAAGGCCAAATTTAATGTTGGGTATCTGAGCCCGTAGGCTTCATATAAAACGGGGTCAAATAGTAGTTTCCCAAGATGAGACTCTACCCTTTGACATAGTCTCATCTAGGGGATCCTCTCTGCCTGGAGGCAGAAAGTTTGGACAACACAGCTAGAGATGAATCTCCAACTGCAGACCAACATACAGTATTTACTACTCTATGTATGTGAATGGGGACATACCCATTATCGTCTGTAGGTATGCTACAAGAATAATGCAGAAGAATACATTTTTAATATGAAAACATACAAAAAATATATTTAATATAAAATTATACAAAAAGAAAGATATAAAATAAAGTCTGTTTAAATATAAAATAATAATATAATAATAATAATAGATATAAAATGAAAAAATAATAATAATATAAAATAATACCAAAATATATTTACTGTATATACTCGCATATCATTAATTTTGAAGACCTAATTTTGAAGCTAATTTTAAGGGGGGGTCGCATCATACATGAGATATAAAATTAGTGTATGTACTGCTGGGCTGGCTATGCCATTGACCAAACAATATATCCATTTACTATAGTCAAAAAGTACAGCTGTATTTAAAATAATGCTTTTGATAAAACTGATGTTTTACTTAACTGTATCCAATAATAATGCATGTAATATTCACATATTACTATTGTATTATAAAACACAAATACAGCAAATATGCATCTTTTCCATTGTTTATGTTTATAAGATGTTTAGCTGTTTCTCATTCGATTGTTTATGACAATAGCTGTTTCTCATTCAGTATGTTTATGACTGTACGCATTTATGCAGGGAGTATACCACTACTAACGATACTTTTATCATTCTCTTTAACTTATTTAACTAGTAGATGAGATAAAGAGTTTAGTCTATTATAATTTGATCTCTCAAAAAAGGAACTTGCATGTTTACACGAGATACATAAGATCATTTTTTTATAAGTGAAAATTTGGGGGTCGCACAATACGTGATATTGTGCATTACATGAGTATATACAGTAATTTAAAAAATATAGGAAATATATAGTAATAATGGTTACTCATTTCAGAGTACAAGGAAAGTTAGCTAATCCCTGTTGCAGATACCTGCTCAGGCACATTTGTGTTTGTTCCACACCTACAGAACACACATACTGCAAATATGGGAAGCAGGCCAAAGTTAGACTTTCTGAGAAAGATTGCATAATCTGGTGTGATCAATAGTTTGAACAAGGCCAATACACTTAAAACCTCGTTCACGATGACTTGGGACTTTCTTTTAGGAAAAAACCATTAACAGCTTCCAAACGATACTGTCTATTCAATTAAGACATTAGCTAGATAAAGACATCATTAGCACTTACCTAAGTTCACTAGTATCACACAAGTGACAGTTTAAATGTGGTAATTATCTTATATATATCTCCAAATGTAAAACAATAAACAATAAAATTCAAAGGTTCAAAACATTAATTTAAAACAAGAGTTCAATACAAGAATAGAGCAATAAATATTTATTATACACTGTTACATTAGAACATGTAAATTACTACTACAATATTGTACATTTTGTTTTGACTGTCAATAATGTCTCATTAGGTAGTTATCAATAATGGTAATAAATGAATTTATTTAAAATTACAATTTATGAAACATCACTTCATTTTCCGAAGAAAGAAAATAAGAAATAAGGAAAAGGAATGTAACAGTGTATAATTATTATATATATATATATATATATGAGAAAAACAGTAGTTAATTTCTGAAGCCTCCTGAAGAGTGGATTGAACAATTACCAAAAAGTTCATCTACAAAACTCTAAAGTTGAGGTGCAGATGAAGCTGAATATAATATCAATTGGTTAAATGACAAATTACATTTATTTGTATTAATACTATATGCAGGGTGTGGCAGAAATATCTCCTACTTAATAGTAAAACATTAGCTACAGGGTAGTGCAGAAATACTGCCTACATGATGGTTAGACGGTAGCAAGATGAAAACACCATTGCAACTTATCTAAGTTCATTAGCACCATTCATATGACAGTTTAAAATGTGGGAGGTATTTCTGCCACACCCTGTACTAAAAAGAGATTTTATTATCAGAAGAAATTACAGTATTGTAATTATCTTCTGAAACATATTAACTATACTTCAT